GAGGCCGCCCGCCCGGCCTGGCCCGGCCTGGCCGCCTTCCCCGCGGGCCCTCGGTGTTTGCTCCAAGCCCAGGGGAGTCAGGGCAGCTGCTGGGAGGAGGAGCGTGGGGTCCCTCTCTGCAGGGGCTTTCCCCAAGCCCCGGCCGCTTTGCTGGAGCTGGGCGCTGCTCTCTGCGACCGGCGAGCCCCAGTGTGGCGTTAAAAAGACTTCAACAAGCGTTGGCCGGCCTGGCCGCCTTCCCCGCGGGCCCTCGGTGTTTGCTCCAAGCCCAGGGGAGTCAGGGCAGCTGCTGGGAGGAGGAGCGTGGGGTCCCTCTCTGCAGGGGCTTTCCCCAAGCCCCGGCCGCTTTGCTGGAGCTGGGCGCTGCTCTCTGCGACCGGCGAGCCCCAGTGTGGCGTTAAAAAGACTTCAACAAGCGTTGGAGCATACAGAATTCCTCCTTTCCCTAAGAGATCAGATTTTGCCTTTGCAGGGAGTAGAAGTAAAGGGAGAAGCACATGTTCCTAGACTTTTAGTTTCCTTTTATGTATTTTGTGACTAGTGTTTCTCTTTGTGTGACCATTTCTTTGAAATAGTAGTATTTAGAAAACAACTGAAAAAATATAACTCAACTTCCATCTAGTATTTGGAAAGAAGGTTAAAGAGCTCCACATGATTGGTTACTTTTCTATCAAATCTAGAAAATAGTGTACAGATCAGAATAGTAAGCAGACTGATGCAATTCATGAAAGCTATTTAATCCTGAAAGATTTAGAAGAGCAAGCAGTTTTGTCCTTCTGAGTTGTTTTATTGCAAAACTGAAAATATTTAGAGGTGTCCTGTATATCATGAATGAAGCCATGCTCACCATTGGACACAAACCCAGATACAGGAAATTTCATTTAAACATAAGAAAGAACTATTTGTATGGTGACGATTGTCAAGTACTGGAAGAAGCTGCCAGAAGTTATGGAGTCTCCATGTTTGGATATATTCAAAACCTGACTGGAAAAGGCCCAGAGCAGCCTACTCTATTTGATCCTGTTTTAAGCAGGGAAGCTGCAGTAGATGGTCTGCAGAGGTCCTCTGAGATCAGGTAACTACACAGAGTAGGGTCTGTGTGTAACATTTCTACCTTTCCCAGGATCAACAAAGTTGTCATGCGACTATTCATTTGACTTGGCTGCTCTTTAGAGCAGATAACATCAAGTTCGCCCTGGCTAAAATCAAAGATGCTCTTCAATATTTCTATTACACTTCCTAAAATGCTTTTCTCTCCTCTTCGTTGTGGTGAAGTTTTACTATTTTTGTTTAACAAGAGGTGCTTT